GCCCCTCAGGCCACAGCAATCCACGCTGCAAGCACCAACTATGCCACTCGGCAAGCTCGGCAACAGTCGTGCAGTTTGCCTGCGATGTGGTCTTGCCAGAAGCCAACTATATGTCATGCGGCAGTTCTGTGCCAATGCTGCATTCCGAGCCTTCGCATGGAGATGCGTATACGCCTTCACCGAGACTGAGAAATTAGCTCCACGTTTGCCATTGAGCACTCCAAGCTTTGCTTTGATTGTTCTTGTCTGTCCACTGCTCCCCATTTTGTGTCTTAAGTTCTTGACCCTGGAACTCAAGCACGAAGAGGTTTGAACCGACAACACGCAGTGTCTGACCCTATGCTTGACCAAGCAGGGGCCCGGCCGGCAAGGGCAACAATCAAACTGGGTTCCTGGGATCAAGTCACTTACGTGGCATCTCATGCATCTCTTCAGATGTGGAAGGGGCAGGATCGAGGTGCACTGTGCAGATTGTCGAGAGACTGCGCTGGCACGAGGGGCTTCACGACATTCGAAGCGGTGTGAGTGTCTTTTTGCACCTGCTAGCCATCGATTTCTGACACCAGTGCCAGGACTCTCTCCTTCGTGCAGCTGCGGTCGATGGCTGCAGCTTGGGATCCAGATGCATGAGTGTATCGGCTCATCGAGCGCGAGGTCGAGGATTCAGCGCATGCCCAGCGGCCTGAGCGCGCCCTCCAGGCATCTCGAAGCCGTGAACTTCTGAGCTGGGTCCTAAGGTGCTCTGGCCAAGGTGGCGAAGGTCGACCCGCAGTCCACCGGGGCTTTGCAGGATGCACATGAAACTAGGACGACCATGAAAGGTTCAGACGGTTCAGATGACGACAGGAAGACGGCTTAGATCAAGGAGGGCATGGCAGTGAGCATTGCCCTTCGGAAGCTTGCAGCTATAAGGTTCTCAGGCACATCTGCTGCCGGTATCGCGCTCCAGAAATCCAACAAAGGCGAGTCGTGGGCTTGAGGCTCGCTTGAGTCATTGAGCCTTCATGGAAGGCCCTTGTGCTGCACTGAGGGGTCAAAAGGACACGGACAACACAGGCAGAGCAACCCAGGAAGCAGTCGTTGCACAGGCAGCGCTCCCTGAACGAACGCCCTCACTATCATGAGAGCTGGCATAACAACGGAAACTGGCTCTTCTCAAAACTCTGGAGCTCTGCGCTTCGGGGGAGAATGGCAAAGCAACCCTTGCACAAGAAAGGGGATTTTCAATATGTCTAAGGATGAGAAGGCCATCTCCTCTCTTTTCCAGGTAAGCTGGGACACGACAAGAGATCTATCATGCGTACTGCGCGTAGCAAACTGCCCTCTACCACAGTTCCCCCTTGAGTTCCTTGAGTTGCTTCCAGGGCTCCAGTCGAGGGCACTGCTGCGCCCATCTGTTTTTCAGCGGGGCGGCTGCTGGGTCAAGCGAGGGAACCACTTTGTAGCCTTCCCCTGCACGATCCTGCACGTGATAGACATGATAGACACGATCTTGTATGCTCATGACTCATGCCCGAGTTGCAAGTGAGGGGGTGGCAATGTTCCCCCTTATGCGCCATTGCCAGCCGCCATTCGATGATGGCGTGGGCAAGGGATGTGGCCTCAATTGCAGTGCGACTGGGAGTCTCTGGAGTCTCTGGAGTCTCTAGAAGGGGCCCTTGGCCAGAAAGGGCCCAGACCAGCAAGGCGAAGCCTATTCACGGATGGCCAGGACATGGGCCCCTGAAGGCACGGCAGCTACACACCGAGTCACACCGAGTGACAAACTTACCTGCTTCTGCACGGAGCAAAGCTCGGCCGGCTCTCAAGTGCTTGCAGGATTTTTATAGGCACGAATACTGGAGCGAGAGGCGAATCCCAGTTTGCATATGTAAGTTCCAGAATGTGCGAATCTGTACAGATCACTCTTCTGCACCCAGGCCTTCCATGACAAAAGAATGATCCCAGCCGATACCCGAACCCAAGCCAAGTTTGAAAACCTGTTCCCCACTTTGCTCCATGTCCAGCTTACTCAAGAGCGCAGTGCTGCAAATGGTCGGGAAGGTCGTTTTAGCCTCTCCCAAGGCTTTCCATACTTAAGCACCATCTGGGGCGTGTTGCTAGCAACCAACAACTCCAAGACTGTGTTCATATCACTGTACCTTCACCCGTTGCGCCAAAGGCAAGTGCACTGGACACGCCCATTCCTTCATGTTGGCATGCGCGGTTCGGATGGATCTAAGATGATCTAAAGCTCTTTTTTCTGCTGTCAGCTTCAAGCAAGCACCGAGAAATGGGGCATGTAAAACCACACCAACAACGCTAGCGTGCACACAGACTGAAAGGGCTGCGGTAGAAAGGACTGCCAGCAGAAGATGCAGAAGTATGTGATTAGATGTCATACCTTCCCTGTCCTTTGCTGCATTTTTTGCTGCATGCCACGCATGCCGGCCCTGAAGAGGGATATGGCGCTCTGTCTGAACCTGGCACGCTTGCGCTTTCGGTGACTGGTGAGGGTGGGGGTCCCACCAGGCTCACCAGACTGCTGCCGCAGAAGCTGCGTGTCACGGTCAGCCAGGTGTTCACTGCCCTGCACCTTCACCTGCGCATTAACTATAAAGCTACCGAAGACGAGTGCTCAAGACCTACGTGTGCAAACCAATAGCCTACGGAAGCTCCGGCACAAGCCGCACTCTCAGCCAATCTCAATAGCGTAATGGCGCAACCTGAGAAATGGCCGCAGGGCCGCAGGTTTGCCACCAAACAAAGGTCCCGACTACTCCAAATCGAGCGGTCTGCAGTGCAGGGAAGCTAAGGAAGCTAAGCGCCTTTCGGGGATGTTAGGCCCTTCGGCAGGCTTGGCAAAACAGGCTCCCCCAGGTTTGGTGATACGGCGGGGAACAGCTCTGGTCATCCTGTATGGTGATGCGGCATGCCGGCTGTGCGTGCACGCCGCGCCATGCGGAGGAAGCTTGCTGCGCAGAGGAAGAGCAAAGCCCGCAAACCGAGGAATGCTTTGTATGAGCGAGGAGGGCGGCTTGCGAGTTGAGAGCTTTGTCAGAGGACTTCCAAAAAACTTATGAGTTCAGGGCAAACTCGGGTATCTGACTTCGTGTACCATTTGCACCCATCCTTCTTCTTGCATCTTGCTGCTCTCCTACAGATAACGAAAGGTGACACAATAAGCTGAGCCAGCCTCAGCTCATCCCAAGCTTGTGGTGGGTCAGGAGAGTCAACACTGTTGGTTGCTTGCTCCCATCCTTTGATCTTTGAGAACCGTGATGAAACGGCTGAAGTGGCCGGCATCGCACAGAAACGCCACATGGGCACTGCCTGATCTGGCTGGCGCAGCATGAGAGACTTTGTTGAAACAATGCTCAAACTTGGTTCTCTTGGATTCTCTTGGGCTGTGCCTCAGGGGCTCCGCAATAGCTCCACAAAGCTGGCAGTGCATAAGCCGCAGCCTAGACTTGACCCTTATCAGAAAAACGCAGAGAACGGGGAGCGCTCAAGTGCACTCCATGGAGAGATGGAGAGGTGTTTCGCTGCAATCTACCTTGCCTTCGGCTTAAGCGTCGTGCGGTGGACGCAGACCAGAGGTGGAGCTTGTGCTGCACTGGCCCGGCTGGCCGAGGCCGCAGAGGCTGCGTCAAGCAACGCCAGCTCCTACCATGGCAAGCCACTGGCATCCGCTGGCATCCGGTTCGTGAATCCGCAAGCCGAGAAAAAAAAGCTCTGCTGCCTCGCGGATCTGGCCATTGTTCTAGGTCGACTCTTCCCCCGACTCCACGTGCTGCAGGACAACGGAACGCAGAAGTATGCGGAAGGCGTGGAACGCGCAGCCAGCAACTTAGAGTTGATGCGGAACAAGAAGTCCGCCACGCTGCAGAGACAATGTGGTTGATACTTGTTGAAGCAGAGGCGATAACATCGATGTGCTCAAGGGCTGAGCTCAAGATCCACATGAGCCCGAGCTTGTGTGAAAGTCTCACCGGGGGCGACGGGAATGAACTGAATGAACGCAGTGCAGGCACCATGGATCCTGTTTGAGGGAAGCACGAACTCTAACACTGCCGCCATCACAATCAGCATGCTTACGCGGCTTACGCGGCTTACGCGGTCCAACTTCTTGATCGTGTCTCGAAAGTGAACGTGAAACCGCATGAACAGCTATGTTGGTCCGCGAGTTGCTTGTGTACCAGCATGTTGGAAGGCTGTCTGCGAAAGCAAGACGCTGCAGACAGTGCCCAATTTGCTCCGCATCTTCCCACGCACACTCAACCACACGGCCGTTCTTCTTTTGTGTCATTGCCCTTCTCATCCCCAGGTCCCCCAACTCTTCAAAAGCAACTCCCCAATGTTGCGACACACTGAGAAGGTACTACGCTCGCCCACTCTCTTGTGTCCTTCGCAGCACCGGATCCTTAGGTCCTTTGTCGGCGGTAGGCGCCGCAATGGTACCACGCAGGGAAGCCCACGGCAACTACAGGGATATTTCAGATCCAAACCTTTGGCTGCATACCTGACTGGGGAATATTAAGGGTCCTCCGGTGGAAGGCCACCTTCGAATCCAGTCAGGGCCACAGCATGCAAAGCAAGTGAGCAGCTAGACCCGGGAGTGGCGGGGGACAACCACCTCAACTGCCTTTTGCTGAAAGCCGCTGCGCAACCATCTGGGTGCGAGGTGGGGTCAAAGAGTGCGTTTTCGCAGCCCACCAACCAGGAGATGCAATGAGCGAATGAGGGGGCAGGATTTGGCTTTCAATCTCCGGTCACCGGTCACACACGGGACACGGGCCTGGGGCGAGATACATTCAGTATCATGCAATCAGCAAGAAGACAACGCAGTGGCTTTAAAACTTAATCGCTGAAGTGCTGTGCAGAACTGTGCAGAACTATTTCCCAGGAAAGAAGCCTTGCCCTCAAAGCTTCTTGCCCATGCCCATGTGGCCAGATGATTGCAGAAGGAGCATGATTGGTGAATCAGCAGCTAGGGCCAGGGCAGCTAGGGATCCTGATTCATGTATGGACCTCTGGCAGACTCTGGCAACAGGGATGTAGCTCAGGCCCCCGAGCTTCACACCTTCAAGGCGTTCGCGCGATGGGGGTTACAGGGCTGCTTTATCCTCGGGCTCCGGCCTCATGAGTGCACAGGGTTGATGCTTCCAACATCTTCCAACATGCGGCAAAGTCCCTGCGACTTGGAGCTTAGGACGAAAGGGAGGAGTCGCAAGCCCACAGGAGCCCAGAAAGTCCGTGCAGTGCACACGGCGCAAGGCGTCCGGCTGGGCTCTACAGGCATGACCCGTAGCTCGCGGCAAAGGGCAACATCGATGGTTGCTGTGCAGTTCGGCCCCAAGAGGGGGGCTATGGACACGGTGAAGGGGCTGAAAGGATTGGAGGAAAGGGTTGTGTAAAACGGTTGTGAACAGCAAAGTTGTCCAACTTTCAATTCAGTGAAAGTGGGCTTGTTGCCGTCGTTGCCAATGCACAGAGGTGAGCTAAAGCAGCTTCTGTACTTCTCTCCTGAGCCCGCGAGGCACCCCACATCCGAGAGGGGACCTAAGCTTGCCTGGCGCCTTCGCGTCCGCCCAGCAGGACCCGAGAAGGGCAGTTCCGAGCAGTCAGGCTCACACATGCTAACACATGCTAATACATGTTATGCATGCGACTGCTTCCTGTGCGGAGGCTTGCCGGCCCTTGGAGTCCGCCGAGTCACTCAAATTGAAGGTGGAAGCACAGTGGAAAGAACCGTCTTTTCTGCGTCTCAGCCTACTCACACACTCCTCACACATGAGCTCCGACGTGAGGAGACTCACAAGCGTAGGCTGCTGAGGCTTATATCAGCCCGGAAGTTCGCCGCGAAAACGGTCGCTGAGGGTTTAGGGTCACTGATCTCTATATTGTGGCTCTAAGGGCCGGGGGGCAGATATTTCCCATCTGGCAGTGGCACCAGCAACCGTCGTTGAGAACATTGCATGCATAGCTGAGTGGCCACTGGAGGTCTGAGGTTTGCAGCGACGAACGGGAAGGATCCAGTCGCCAGCTCCATTGTGGGCCTTCACAGGATAGAGGCATGACTCGGTATGACAAGGCGCGCCGCTCGCCTGCAGTCAGTGGTGCGTGCAATGACCGCCTTTGGACGCTGCATGGTGGCTGCGTGGCCCTGAAGAGGAACCCTTTGAACACTCTTCACTCTCAGTGACATCCTTCGCCGCCGGCTCTCCCCAGCCCTATGCCCAATGCCTTAAGGCATTTGGGCAACGGCAGGATTGCAATGCAGAGAGCACTCGCGGAGGACATGGAGAAATTCTGTTGAGATCAGAGAAGCACTCGATATCCCTGCAGATTGAGCAGTTCATGCTTTGAACAGAGTGCGCAGTTGGCCAAACACCATACATGGCACGAAAGTAGCATGCCTCACAGATTTGCACCCTACATCCCGAACCCCTGTTTTTGGGGTGAACCTGTACAGAGGAGGGGCCGTTTGGAGGGCCCTCCACGTCATGCTCTCAGCATGTCCTTATGGCCCGTAGCACCGCACATGCCTGCCCCTTTTCCTATGCTGTGATGGTTTTAAGTATGAATCACTCTGCTCTCACTGCTGCGTGCGCACTGCTACATGTGCCCGTGGCAGGAGCACAGGGCACAGGGTGGGGAACGGCTTACATGACAGAACCACTCCTGAGAGAATGCGGAGTTGTTTCAATCAACCACCAAGTGCTTCAGAAAAAGCACATTAAGGTCATCCTTCATGCCAACAATCCCGATTCTGAAGATGACCTCAGAGCCATGTCCCCTTCGCCGAGGCACTGAGGTTCAATCAAGGTGGAGGCTCACAGAAACACGCTCAGGAGTTTTAGGCTTTGGAGAGCATGGTGCGCTGATCTCAACCCACTGCCGCTGCACCACAAGAATTGACTGAAAAGACACTTAACATGCTCTTGCGACTCTTGTGTTGATTCCAGCCATTGAGTGGTAAAGGCAACGCCACGGCATTAAAACGCTTTGGCCGAACGCGATACAGGGTGTTATCGGAAAGCCGGTCTCCGCCCGTGGCAGTCTGTCAGAACGGCCCGTGGTCCGAAGAACTAATCTCTGTCAGATGAAGACTCAACTCACCCACGGTGCAGAACTTGTTGAATCTGTAGGAGACCTTGCATGTCAGCCTCAGCTCTCAGCTTAAGACTTCTGACGGGTCCGATTCCTTTTTGAAGGGGACACATGTTCAATTGACAGCCGACTGCAAATATGATGACTATGATGACATGTAACGCGGTCATGACCCCAGTATCCCTCTAGTCCTTAGTAGTAAGAAGCGCGCATGGATTTGGTGATGCGCCCGCCAACGTGGCGACATACCGAAGGCTTGTCTCAGGGGCCAACAATATCGGCTCGACTGTGCTTGGGCCCCACACGTAGCAGCAAACACAAAGCCATGCTCAACTGCTGGCGAGACATTTCAATCACTGCACGCTTCACAAAACGACTCAACATTGCAAAGAACAACGAGCTAGCCACTTCCGCAGTGCATCGCGTGCTCGAGAATTTTTGCCTCGGGTTCTGGGCGAAAGGCGTCTAGAACAAGCAGACCATCTGGTCTCCTTCCCCCAAACCCAACCCTTCCATGTCTGTCACAACCCTCCCTCTGCAAGCGTGCCGAACAAAACGCCCCCTTGAAACCCCCCAAGGACAGTAGGACACTTGCCTAGGACCTGCACAGGCTTTCTGCTCCGAGAGATGTGCCCCGCATTCGGCTGGCTCGGCGGCCGAGGCGGCGCGCGCAAGCGTCTACCGTGACATACGTGCTTTCAGGAGGGATTGCTCCGTTACAAAGCGGCTGCGATTAAGCATTGCAGAATTGAAGATGCTGTGGACTGTGGAGTGCGGAGTCTACTTCGTGGGTGGAGAGGCACCAGGAGGGTCTAGCTTAGAAGGAAGTGGTGCGCAGTGACTATCTATGACCCACAACCCGTTCCCGCCATGAGTAACGAGAATTTCGGCAGGCCGTGATGTTTCGAGAGTTCCTCCAAGAGGAGCTTGTATTTGTTGCTGGATACACCCTGCGACAGGAAGGGCCCGCTTGTGGGCTCGGGACATGAAGTGGATCATCTGGAACCTATATTTCCAATGACCTTAGCCTGCCTTCCACCCGGCACTTCCTGTCTGGCCCCCCACTCGGCTATGTTCAAAAATCAAGTGCATCGGGCTACTCACCTACTTCGAGCAACTGGGACACATCATGCTGCAAATGATAGCTATGTCGCTAAGCCAATCTTTAAGCCAATGTGCAGTCCTGTACGTCCGCACGCAAACTGGCTGCTAAAGCAACAAGGCTGACGACAAGAAAGCTGCCTGCCTGTGCCATAAATTCTCGCACGAGGATTGTTACGCGCCTCTGCAAGGATTCGCAAACAACTGCCGCTACCATGCTCTGCACCTGCTGCAAGACTGTCTGCCAGAGCGTTTGTTTAAAGAGCCCATTCCCTCGGATCGTGGTCACATTGTTGGATGAATGGGTTATCGTATGTTGAAATGTTGCCTTTACATGCCTCTCCTACAAGCGAACGCCTTTTTCAGTCCTGCTGCTGGCAGGTCGGTAGGGGATAGTTCCGCATGACCCCCAAAGTTTGCAGACCTTCACCACTTGTGTCTGTGACTTTCATATGCCTCTTCATGCCTCTACCAGGCGTCGGAAAGGAGTTCTAAAGTCAAGAAGGGGGGCATATTCCAGAACGGAGCATTGGTAGTGCTGGGGGAGCCAAAGGCATGACACCTCAGCACACACTGCCTCCTCTCACTTTCACTGCCTATCGCTGCGTCTCCTCTCAGCCACGCATTCAAATACACGTGTTTTTGTTCACATTTTCTCGTGTGCACGGAGTTTTCACGGCTTTTGCCGATTCGCGGGCATTTTCTCGTGGAGAGAGGTCTTAAGTCACACTCTCGCCTCCCTCCCGGGGAAGCTCACGGGGCATCGCTGAATAAGAATGTCTTCAAAGCATTGAAGCATTGGGCTGCGTGACGCAACGCACACTGAGCGCGAGCATGAGCTGTCGGCTTCAAGAAGCCGCTATGTAAGGTTATAAGCGTCAGCAACGGCTATATGCCAGGGTTGAACTGGGCGACAATATGTATGGTGCATCAGGTCTCTGCTTCGGAACCGACAAGAGGCCAAGCTGAGAATTCAAAAGCGACACGGGCAAGCAAGCTTCATCAATGGGCATTTCAGTCGAAAGTTATTGCTGTGCCACCAGATGCCTGAGACACCTCAAACACCTGATCTGGCCGTCTGATAGAAAACGTAGCAGACCTGTCACATGCAGAGGCCAGGTCGGCCAGGCCAAAAAAGACACAACAAGCACAATGGTTCAGGTCCTTGCAGTCCTTGAAGTCCTTGCCTTCTGTTGTCATACAGAGTGAGTTCTCCAAGAGGGCTCAGGGCACAGGGAAGCCCAGTCTTCCCAACACGTCTTCGGCGCTTGGAGCTGCTGTTTTACCTTCAACCCCAAACTCAATCCGCCGGAAGTCCTATTAAGAAACACCTCCGCACAGCTGAAAGCCTTGCGAAAGCCTTGCGACTGCCTTGCGACTGCCTGGCGAAACCTTAAGAGAGAGAACGTTGAGTGAAGTCAGTCAAGGCCTCCTGTGCTGGCAAGCCCGCAGACTGGGGGCACACGATGGCACACTCGCAAGTACGCCATCTCCCGTCCGGCAACACAAGCGCTTGCTGCAGCTGGCATTATGAGCACTCATGAGATCTGCCCTCTTGGCCTGGACCATCCCAAGAGCCATTCCAACTCCAAGTAGCGACAGCTTCAGGATTCCAAGCCGCAGGTTCAGGGGATGGGAGCATCCTCCAAAGGTTTTTGAACATGTTAAGAGAGATTCGGCTCATACATGACAACGATGAGCGTGGGAGGGAAATTCGCCATCCCGCCGTCACACTGTCTAGCATCTCACTTCGCGCACACCCCATGCAGCATGTGCTCGAGAGCAATCTCTGCGTGAGATGCTTGCAGCCTCCAGCACATGCGATCTTTCCAGGCCAAATGAATGAACCTCCACGAGTTGTTGGGTAACAGCCCGTGACTTCACACCGGCCAATGCGTCTGTCAGCACAGAACGCAGAACGCGGCCTCCCCTTCTGAATCTTCTGCAAGCTCGATCTCCATTCCGTGGTTCTGTGGAAGGGCGCATTGCTCTTAGGATCTTCTTGTCGCGATCTGGACCTGGGTGAACACAACTTGCTCCTTTGTCCTAGCAGGGCCGTCAAGTTAGCAGCCCATTAAAACATGTGGGAGCAGGCGGGGGAGTGGCAAAACAGATCAACGCGCAGGCAGGGAACGCGCAGGGTTCTGGCTTACAGGGCATGCTCTCCACAAACGACACTTGCGCAAATTTGTGCAAAATGTGCTGCCTCCAGAAGCAGACTTGCCCAAACCTACGAGGGGCGACAAAAGCAACTGCAAACCTTCACATATGGTGTCTTTCACAAAAACGAGGCAAAAGAGAACTTTCTGTTGCAGCACGACTGGCCAGTCGCGACTTCAATGAAGTCACCTTGCCTGAACTATCCTGAACTCCTATCAACCTACGGGGTGAACGGCAAAGCTCGGTGCACCCACGAAAGCCAACCTGAGCACCAGCAGTGCCATGGGCAAGTGGACTCTCCATAACGCCTCTAAGCGACTCCAACAGACTCCAACATCACAAAGATCTTGCGCTCCGTCCAAGGCAAGACATGGACGCGATGGACTCGCCAATGGGGATCTCAGCATGGCCCTGCCACCGGCGCTGTCACTGGCATGGCTGCGACAAGGTTAACTCACGTCAGTCCAGAATTCACATCACCTCGGTGTGGACGGTCCGGGAATATTGCACATCAGCAGCAAGAATATCGTTCGCCATGAGTGAACACGATGCCTGGCAGACGCTGACGTTTTCAATGTTCGGTGCTGCCTACTTAGAAGAATCCTTTCATTTGCTTAACATCAAAGTCATCTCCTTTGTACGGAAGTGCCGGTCAGGGAGAGCACGCCTTCAGAGGCGTGCTCAAGGATGTGCTGGCGGAGAGAAACTTGATTTTGGCTTCACGTGGCTTCACCCAACTCGCCAACGAGACTCCGCGCGCGGAACCGGTGTCAAAGCCTGTCAAAGCGCGGAGAAAGCATGCACAATCTTACACAATTGCCTACGCGAAGACACCTCTGTCACTTGCGCATATGCCTACGTGGCTGACTTCTCAAGTACCGCATGGGCGTTTTCGTCTATCATTCCAACACGCCGAGCTTAGCTCGTCTGGATTCTGGATGGACTCCTTACCTCCGGGAATAGCTTTGCAGCTGAGGCTTTTCTCAACGTTGACCTACCTGGATCTCCAAGTATGGCCAAATTAAGGGCGAGGACGCGTTTGCCTATCGGAAATAAGGTCGAGCCCATAAATTTACGGTTGTAACCATGATTTTACGGTTGCAGGGCGCCCTGACCAAGTTTCGACGGTTCTTTATGGTGGTTCTACGGGCGTTCTACGCCAAATTAGTTCCGGTGGTTCCGTTGCCTTCTTCGGGCAGGAGGATCAGTTTTATGGTCGGTTACCAAAGTTGCAGGCGCTCATGGAGAAAGATGACCGTTTTGCCGACAAAGAATATGAGTCGTTTTGGAGCGCCAGGGAAGGGACCGTATGGCTTTAGCGCCACTGGGTCTTGGACTGACTTGCGCTTTCCACATGGGAAATTGAGGGGTGCTTGCAAGCACTAGAGTCACTAATTACGAGAATTCATCGGTCAATCATCGCCAAGTTGCGGAGGTGCATCTTTGCTGGTGTGTCGGAACTCCAGCAAGCCTGTGCTTCTCCTAAGGAATCTCATTTACAGTCTATTCTGTAGAGGTACTTAAAGTGAAGACTCTCCAGTCCATGGCATAAGAGAGAAGGAATTGAGCTAGCTCCTGGGGGGCCTGAAAAGCCATCCTCGAAACCTTCCAAGATTCGAGAACTTTAAGAAGAGGCTTCTCCTTGCTTGCGAATCTTGCGAATTGCCGTGCGGACATTCGATTCGTGGCACTTTCCTGGGGCTTTATCAATCGGAACTTTTCCCAAGGTCCTAGGCTCCTAAGGTCCTAAGCTGCCGCCACGTGTGTGACCTGGCTGTCCTGCTCGCTTCTGAATGAATCACGCGAGACCTTGTAGCGAGCCCCACAGCAGATCGATGCAAAAGCATGTGGGTGCATGTGGCACGCGCATGCTGTTCTGGTGACTGTGGTGGCCTCAGGAGCAGTCAGTGTCTGAAGGACAAGCGATGGCGAAGGCAGGGCCCGGTTGCCCTGAACTTTGGGGTGCACTCTGTGTCTGTGTGCGAAGTGTGCGAATCTACCGCAACTCAGATTAAACTGCACTATCGCAACCCCCCTGAGACCTCGCCGTCATTTTAAGTTGACGCTACTCTGAGCTCAGCACATCTTAGGTGTCAGCCCAACCTGCTGAAGCTCCTGCGACTGTTCACGAAATTTCGCGAATGCTCGAAGGTTCTCAGAAGAAGCGGTCAGGAGGCATGCCTCATGGCCCAATGGATCCTCATGGCCACCCCCACGCACATGGCAAACACGTTACAGGAGCAGCAATGTCATGCCGAGCAACTGACCTTAACATCTGCATCTCCTACGGCTTGTTTATGACAAGTACATGCACTCAGCTGTCACTACCGGCGCTTCACTCCGGAACGCATCCGCAATCCTCCATCCTCTTTCTACTTGCGGCTCATCCTGTCGGGTCAGAGAATTCTGCGGGCGACAGCGGCAGCTGTAGTTGAGGCCGAGGGCCAAGAAGCCACGCAGACACAGAAGGTATTCCTCCCGTACTGACTTCGATTACTACTGCGGCATCTAACCCATCAGGAATCCATCAGTGGGTAAAGACTTTAAGTTCACCTGCCTCGCAAAAGTCAAACCACGTCTCCCGCATTTCCAGATCCCGTTTAACAGGTGCACATTGCGAAGTTTTGGGGCTTCGGCATCTCATAGGAGAAGCTGCTGCGAGACCTGCTCCATACGGCTTCCAGGGTCCCGGATCCACGCAATAGCTGCTTTGGGGCATGGGAGCTTCGCTTAAGGTTTACGTGTCGGATGGCCTGCGTCGGCATATTCTCGGCGCACCACGTCGACTGCTACATCGACTACATCCATAGGGGCGAGTGCACGGCCCCCAGTAGACAGGGTTCAAAGCAAAAGAACGGGAGGCGGGATGGCGTAGAAAGCAGACACATGTCTGCACGTGTCACCCAGGAAGCTGGCCCGAGGCCCCATCCTCAGCCTTTGAACCTCGACTTCCTGCCCCATCACTTTGGCAGGAACTGGAGCGAAGGGGTCTTGTTGCTCCGGCTCAAAACATTAGGTGGAGTGTACTGTCGCAAGATAATGCAAAGCTTGAAGTGCACTGGGAGCAAGTAGGTCTTGGTCGACGTGACTTGGTAGCGACTAAATACTCACATGCAATATCCGCGGGGAGAAGCCTGTGCCGCAAATGTGTCCAGCAAGGCTCTTTCAGCCAAGCGGATGGCTCTGAGGTTTGGCAGTTCTCAGAAGCAGTTGAGAGTCTCTCGTACTGCCACGTAACCTGCAGGCGGGTATGGACATGGCCATGGCCCGAAAGCGGGTGACAGACGATGGCAGAGAATGCAACTTAAGATGGCACGTGGCTGTGCGGCCGGACTTGCACTGGAAGGCAACCTACCGCACCGGCTAGACTGGGCTATCAATCAAGAAGAACGAGGATGAGCGGCACTCGGTTCGTTTTTGGGTTTCCTCAGCTTGCGTTGCATAGGTGGAATGCAAAAGCTGCAGCTGCGTGGGTTTCGTCAAGCAAAGACAGAGCGGCGAGCTTCCCATGCCAGGGAGACGTGCTCCGATTTGAGGAATATTGTCAGACAGAGACGTCCTTCAGAGCTCTGACAGTGATTGCGGTGATTGCCGTGGGCCTCGACATCGTGCAGCTCCGGCAGCTCCTGCAGGTCCTGCAGGTCCAGGTTCCACGAATCCTCAAGGCTCAGCCTAAGGCGCCTAAGGCTGTAGGGTATTGCAGGGTCTTCCGTGAGACTTCAGACTTCACCATCCTGAATATGCCGAATGCAGAGACGCTTGGACAAAGACGTGTCAGTGGGGTTGTTATACAGACATACTTGTTGTCACCCCAGAAAACCTGAGCGATGCCATGGAGATGGCATTCGTGCGGAAGGCTTGTACCTCCGTCACAAAGTCGTCGGTGTTCTTCAATCCGGACAAGACAAGCAAGAATCAGAGTCAGTTTCAAGTGGCTACATCCCCAAAATTACACGCTGTCAGGGAAAGGGAGGAAGAAGTGCAACAGGAGATGTGGCCTTCAGGGCCGGCACGGTCTTGCGGAGCTGCTTGCCGCCTGGCTTCTGCTGTCGGAAGAGTAGTGCAGTTCTTCAGGAGGATGGCGTAGTGCTTGGGGTAGTTGAGGGTGGCAAATTGACTTGCTACTGGTTCGGACTGCGAAAGAAGTGTATCGAACCATGCGGTGCATGGTTCAGCCGATTGCTGCCAGATCTACCCTGCTGCTTGTTGTTCTTTCCGCTGTTACCAGTAGCAACACGTAGCCTGAGCACGGGAGTCCTGCCAAGTGCAAAAGAAAGCCTCCGAAGATGCCGCGGAAGTGCAGGCAGGCAAACGCGGCATGCCCCACATGACGGTTACAGCTTTCTTTGATTCAGCTTTCTCGGGCCCTTAAGCCGCTTAAGCCTTGCCAAAATTTGCCAAAAAGATGCTATGGAGGCCTCGGGCCGCTACGGCGGCCGTGCTCGGGCCCAGGCCAGGGTGTGGAGATTACAGCTACACGGGGTGGTTGCGAAGGCTGAGCGTGCTGTGCATGGCCGATGCCGTCACCGCACTCTGCACTCTCCAGCTCCACGCCGAGAGCTCCGTACAACTTATGGCGAAGCCGTTTGACACAGAGAAGGAACTCACTTGCCACTGCGGGCTTGCCGGGCCTGCCGGGCTTGCCTGCAGTCATACATCACAGCTGTTCTATTGCCACCAGTCCTCACACCACAAACTGAGCCCCACGACCGCTGCACACGCAAGAAGCATAGCATCCTCCTAAGGTCTCAGTCTTGAACCACTTTCCTAAGCATGGACAGCTCAAGGCTCAAAGCCAGAGTGCTCTGAACAGAACTGTGTTGTGTGCAGTCCCTGGCCCAAGCTATGTTATGGAACTGATCAAACCTCAGAGGCGCGACATGCTCCGCAGACTCCTCAGATCTCCTCAGCATGTTCAGCAGAATATACAGCAGAATGCTGCGCAGAACGCTGGGCCCGTCTGTGTTTAGCCGAAGGAGACAGCCTTGTGCAGGACAGGTTTGCTTTCACAACGCGTGGCCAGGACAGACCGCAGTGCAACGTCGCACTCAGCACATGGTCACACAGGCCACACAGGCCACACAGGCCACATTTCTCGATGAGCAGCGGCTCTTTTCCTAGACCCGTGCACCACAGGTGGGGCAAACGGACAAGCCTTGCGGATACAAATGAGCCCGTCTTCTGGCAGTCTGCACAACTTTCACAGGGCAGCGGCTCGGCTCAGCGTGAGTTCAAGACGCAGCATGCATGGAGGGAAGGACAAGGAGGGAAGCTCTCCACGGTCTGGATCTTGGGGATTTCGGGATTTCGAGCCCTGGACGGAGAGGTTTTAGTGGGGCTTCACCGTGGCGACGGGGGCACCTGTGGACGCGAGGTTTCGCAAAGGCTTTCATGAATGGAATGCAATAGGCCGCCGCCATGTGCATCCCAAGAATCCCAAGACAAGGTGGTACGCTGAAGGCTCAAGCCATCGGAATCGCCGTTGCAACCCCTGAAAGTGCTTGGCACCAAGCGCATGAGGCTTCGAAGGATTGCCTCGACCTATACAGTATGACTCTCACGAGGAAGGTAATGATTTTGTCTTGCCCTCACCCCGGAACAGATCGAGGTTGAACTCAGGTTGCTTCCTGCAAAAGAGAGGCAGAAGATGTGCAGGAAGTTAGAAAGGGACAGGAAAGAAGAGGGAGTTTGCTCAATCGCTCAATCTATCTCACGACATGACTCTGGAATGTCACTTTTGTTTCCGAACTGTGTAGCACGAAGATAAGCACCACAAACTCTTGGGAACCCAAGTGAGAGTCTACGAAGGGCAGTGGGCCCTGCAAGACAAGATATGAAAGGTAACATCCTCTCGCGAACTTGTGATGGTTCTACCAACTTAGTGGTAGGCACGGGTAGTCAATCGCTGGCGTGGATCTGGAAACTTCGCACCGGTGTTGGTCCTGTTGGTGTTGCCCAGCGGCGGGCCCATGGCATCCTCACCACGCAATAGAAGTGCTGTTGGCACTTGTGCTGGCAGTGCTCTGAAAAATTGAGCCATGCCTGCACCGCTGAAACCCTCTCGAGCCGCGCTGCTGCCCGCGGTATGTTACAGAACACTTGAAGCAACAAGCGCCTAACACGAGCAGCTGCTCGAGCATCGGCAAACGATGCTTGGATGAGGCCTTATGATCCTTATGCTTCACTTAGGACCGAGCTCTGCTTTGGAAGCAGTGGGCTCGTCTAATCTGTCTCAGTCGGCCATGTTAGAGTTTTAGTCAGAAAATCTGCTTGGGCTCACATTTTGAAAGTTGCGAAAGTTGAAAGTTGCAGCTTTCGG